TTGAAGCTAAAGAGCATGAGTGACCAGTTCAGGTAAGAATGCTGAAGTTCAGGACCAATATTCTATATCACATTCAATCGGCAACTTCGTCAAACAGTCGGATTCAACAATTAACACTCTCTCCAATTATCAAAATCACAAAAACCCAATACCATTTCATAAACCGAGATAACACAAAATCATCAATCAGTTAAAAACAAATGACGTTTCCAAATTTTTTTCAATCACAAAATGTGTTCCTCAAGCTCAAAATGATAAGTATGTCAGTATTGAAGCCACCCCAACACTTGCCCACCGATCACAGTACCCCAAATCTAAAAATTATCATAATTCCACTCCCAATTCAATCAAATACCAAATCTTTCAACAATTTCCCACCAACCCAATTCAATAAAATCAATACTTTACCTTAAAAGCCATTTCATATAATTCAGAAACGAACAAATGTATCGTAAGTGATTGAAAAAGAGAGAGAGAGAGAGAGAGAGAGAGAGAGAGAGAGAGAGAGGGGTACCGAGTGAGTGATCTGGTGGACGAGGAGAGAAGGCGAGCTCTCAGGATAGATGGAGCGCGGGAGATCACTGGGTGTCGAAGCCGCGAGAGCGCCATTTTTGTTTTCGTTTTACAGAGAGGCCTTTGTTCTTACCTTTTTCCTTTAAATTTTGCTCAATGCATTTGTTAATTAGTGAAAGATAACTATCAGTGTGTTCGTTATTTTTGGTGGGCTGCGAATTTTACAAAAGTCGATAGGAAAATATTTATACACGTACTCACTTGTAATCAAAGTAAATTACCTAATTAAAAAAAATAACTCACGTAATTACATATCTTTTTTTTTTTATTAAAAAAGAAAACTCTCATCTTCTTTTATTTTTTATTTTTTTTAGTGCATTTTTACATTAAAGGAGGAAGGTGCAGCTAATCCACACTATGAACAGTCTAATTTAGTATCGAATTCGCTATTCATGAGATTCAAACTTAATACTTTCACTTGTAAGCGAAGAAGAATATCATCATATTATAAAAAATTTAAAAAAAACTTAAAAAATGAATTGTAGATAAGCATGGTGTGCTCCCTCTTCTAACGACTGTTGCAAACCCACCTAACCTATACACATTTGTTTTTTTTGGTCAAATATAATTTTTTTTTTTTTTTGTTAATTTATAGGATTTCTCCACCTCAGTTATAAATTTTAATTCAAGGTGTTCAGGGGTAAGGTTTCCTGATAGGTAATCTCCAATCAAATGGATTAAATATAATCTTATTCAATTACAGGTTTTATGGTTATACAAGAAATTATTTTTAAATGAACATTGTCAAGCCATATTCATATACTATCTCTAACTAAAGCGACTAAACATTAGTAAGATAATATGTAAGATGAAGAGGATGTGAGAATGATATAGAAATGGAATAGGAATATATAGAAAAAAATTAGAACTTTTTTTTTTTTTTTAATTCTGCCTTAAAAATATCTAACGACTATTTTTAACTCTGCCTTAAAAATATCTAACAACTAGCAAAGGTTAGCTAAGGTTAGCTAGCATTTGCCCTTCCCAGTCGTTGGATTTGAAAGTGCATATGTAGCTCTGCTGTTGGGCCCCAAAAAATGGGTTGGGAGGAGGGCCAAGCTTGGCCAACTCAATGTTCTTTTGCCCGAACTTGGTTTGGTAGACTTTATTAAATTATAGTTCAACCATCCATGAAATATGGGTTATGAGACAATTCTGGTCATTTTTTTATTTTTGGACCTTTAGCATGGATATGGCCTTAAATAAATGGAAATACACGAAAATAGAACTACTAAATTTTCAATGTTCTCTCCAAACCAAATGGTTCTCATCTTCGCTTGTCACCGGCAAATCATCCTCAATCATACCGAATGGCATAGACTGATATGAGTACGAGTTCTATTCCGATCACCTCAAGATGTCAAGTTCCCATCTAGTTATCATCTCATACAGACAACGTTTGGTGCGATGTCTTACCTATGAATGCAAATCATATTCTCTTGGGTAGGCCACGGATTCATGATCACGATGTTACTAATTTGGGTCGACAAAAATTGTTGTTCATTCTTTTTTTTTTCCCCTTAAAAAGGGACCAGTTGGTGACTTCACTACGGCAACCTCCCCTCAAGCCACCATTATGCGATTCATCAACGTCAAAAATCTAACCTAAAACATGCCGTGTACGAGCCTAAAACTCATTCCCCAACCACGGCCACCTCGTGGTGGTTGAAAATAGTTGTTCATTCATTCATGAAGGAAAGAAGATCACATTGAAGCCTTTTCAACCGAAGCCTATAGCTTGTTTCAAAATCTAGTGGAGGAGGTCAGCTTAAGGCAAGTAAGTTAAAATCTCTACACATCATTAAGCCAAGCATATTCATGAAGAAGGCAGAAGATATTCTATGTGTTTGCGCACTAATTCTGACATTTTTTGAGCAATGCAACAGTCTTAAACACATTGGAGTCGAGTTCTTCTCAGCCGGAGAGAATTGATGAGGACATCAACGTCAATCGTTTAGGGTTTACTGATGAGAAGGATGAGAAGGAAAGAAAATAATGCAGCCACTGGATTAAGGCTTTAGAGCTGATCTTCCTCAACTTTCATTAGCTTTGTTGACATATTACCTTCATTAGCCAATTCTTGTAACCATGTTGAGAGGCCCACTACACCATCTTCAGTCACCATCAATAAAAGAGGGAGGGAAGTTCCTGCAAAAAACTCCAACAATCACGTTAATAAGTGCTTGATATGATTGCAAGAGAATTTTAGAACAACTTCACACCTTTTTCTACATCAATGCTGGTGGGAGTATTGGCCTTTTATAGGCATTGAAGCCTTGGGTTCAATGGAAGTATCCTTTACTCATTTTCAATAGGGAGGCTAGTTGATAATTTCTGACTTCACACCTTCCAACTTTGACCTAAGTGAAACATAATAGAAGCACAAAAGTTCAAATTTAAGAAAAGAAATCAAGGGAAAAACTTGCAACAAATTTAAGAAAAGCGAACAAATGGGAAAAGCTTCCACTCTTAATAAAAACATGAACATTGCTTGGTCACCAGGTAATCAAGAAATGTGTGGTTACTAGGCACCCACCTTAGATTGAATATCAAAAATGGAAAAGAAACAGATGTGCTTTTAGTGTTTTAATGTTGATCCTTGATACTAAATTTAAAGGTGAGTGATCATGAATCAACAACTACTAACCAAGAAAACATGACTCCCAAAAAAATTTGATTAATTTGAAATTGAAGAAAAAGAATGGAATAGAAGCATTTTGTACGCATGATTTCTTGGCTTTTTGAAGTGGAAAGATTATAAACCAACGAGGGAATAAATATAGGTTTGTAACTATATATATCATGCATACGACCCACAAGAATCAAAATTACGCAACTAAATATTCATGCAAGTTGACCACAAACACTACTCTCCTAGCAAAGCAGGTCTGGAGAGTGTTGGAAAACCCTAATGATTTTCGGGTTCGTATTCTAAAAACTCGCTATTTTCCCAGGGTGATCTTCTCACTGCCATTCATGGATCCTGTCCCTCGTGGGCTTGGTCTAACTTACTGGAAGGTATGAATTCGGGAGGGCTCTAAATGGCAGGTTGGTGATGGTTCTTGGATTCGTATATGGAGTGATAATTGGCTTCCTCCTATACGCTCCTCTCGCTTAACTCCTGGACCAATTCCAACAATGGTTTCCTCCTTAATTGACACAGAATTTATGTCTTGGATACTTGATACCATATCACATCATTTCTAATCAGAGAAGTCATTTCCTCTATTCCTCTTCACCTTATTGAGAATGAAGACCGGCTCATTTGGCCTTGGATTAGAAATGGGGATTACTAAGTTAAGAGTGGATATCGGTGGGCCATTGAGAAATCTTCGCATGGTTTATCTGCTCCTCCCCACTCTTCCCACCAGATTGAGACAAGAGTATGGAAATTGAATGGAAGCTTAAAATGATTCCCAAGATCAACAAATTTCTATAGAGAACCATGTCTAATTGTGTTCCTATAAAGTTGAATTTGTTCAAACGCCATATAAATCCTAATCCTTCATGTCCTTTTTGCATGGAGCTTGAAGAATCCATTCAACATATCTTATTGTTATGCCCGGAGCAGGTATTGGCTATCGCCCTAATGTACCAGCTGTCACTTCCTTTGACAGGTGGTTTTCAGCCGTGAAGCGTATTGATTCAACTCCAATCTCTCAGAATCACAAGGTGCTTGCTTATGTTGGGAGATATGGAAAGAAAGTTCACACGTCACCTGAGGGATCTCTTTCTTCTCCCATATGGACTGCCCTACTCCCCCTTTTTTCAAGATTAATGTGAATGGCGCCTGGATGACTCCTTTTCAGGCCAAGGTGGGTATTATCTTTCGAGACTCTCAAGGTTTGCTGATTGGTGAGGATGCAAAATATCTAGTTCGGGCTTCTTCTGAAGAAAGAAACCGAGGCTGAAGCTATATTGGCAGGGATGGAGTTGGCTCGCGACCACCACATGGATCATGCCATTATCGAGAGTGATCCTAAAGCTGCTTTTGAGATTCTTTCTATGCGCACGTGCAAGGGTTCTTGGCGCATCTGCCCTATCGTTGACGCATAGTTGGCCAACTCGAGGGTGAGCTCCTAAAGTTGGCCACGTTTGGTGATGGTTTTATCTCATGACGATTTACCATGCCCTCCCGTAAATGAGGTTTGAGGTTGGTGGCTTTGTCCCTCCATTCTCCTCTTTCGGTCGCCTTTTTGCCTTTTGGGTGGTACTTCCTTGTTTGGCTGAGAATCTTGCATTTCCTGTATATTTAGTTTGTATCGCATTTCTTCCATGCTGGGATTAGGTTGGCCTCTAGTGCCTCCTACAATGTGTTGGAATATTCATGTGGAAATTGCAGTAATATGCGTGGCCTTTCTATATTTTTATTGTGTTATTGTCACTTACCTTAATAAGAAAAAGGGGAGGGCCAGGGCTGGCTTTCTTATAAATGAAACAATGAAACTTACAGCATCATGACTTTTTATGGTCGTATGGTGGTAACAAATTTAAGTGAAGATGCAACAACACCATAATCTAATTAAACAAGAGGCGACAAGTGACTTATAGCTCAATTGGTTAAGAATTTTCATATTTGTACTCGAAGTCACAAAGTTCGATTGAATTTTGAAAAGCTAAAGCCAAAAAAACAAAAACAAAAAGTTGCTCATGACCATGCACTTTTCAATCAAGAAACACAAATTTAACATTTTCTTTAACAAAATAATTAGATCAAAGTCCGTATATTTCCATAACATTGGTCAAGATGAATCGAAAGAAGCTACAGAATAGTGTTTCAATTTTGAATGGTGGTATAACAGAAAAGTTATTAAAAAAATAAAAAAGAGTTGGTAATTCACATCAAGTTGACCATTGATCATATCAACTGTGGAGTGAAGAAATCACTAAAAAAAATCTTAATCATTTTTTTTAGTAATGACAGTCCACCAAAATTTGTGTTCTTAACCTTTCTTGCTGCTGCTGTTCTTGTTGCTGCTGCTTTGATGCAAACACAAACTTGGTTTCTCTGTGGTGATCATCTTCTGAAGGTGCTGGAAGGTTGAGATCCAAATCCAAATTCAACATACTTTTTTGCTTCTTCATGGGCAGCCGTGGCTGCTGCTGTTGTTGCTGTTGATGAGATTCAAAGGCCACTGAGACTGGCGGAGACGTCAACGACAAGGTTGTGTTGGTGGCTCCAGTCGGCGCCCTGTGGCGCCTCATGTGGCCGCCCAAGGCCTGTCCGGACGTGAATTCCGCGCTGCAAATTGAGCACTCGTGGATTTTAGAAGAGGACTTGTTGGAGCTCAAAACCAAACCCCTATTGCTCAAATGGAGAGAAAGTGGAGATGAAGATGTCATGATGTTCTTGTTGTTGTCGAAACTGTTGTTCTTAAACAATTGCGTATCTTGATCTTCATCCGACGGTGGCAATAACCCAATTCCAAAGTGTTTGTTTTTGTGATCGTCTCCTATATTCGCCTTCGGCTTTTTGTGACTCGCCCTGTGACCCCCTAATGCTTGGAAAGAAGGGAACGTTCTGTTACAAGTCTTGCATTCATATACATAATACCCTGCCGCCCCCGCCACCTTTCCCGCGGGGGTAGTTGTTGCTTCCAAGAATCTTCGACTACTTGTAGTCATATGCTTATGGGGTTGGTGGTGGTGATCGGGGGAGGAAGAAGCCGCCCGGGATTGGCCTTGCGCCAAAAGAATTAGGCAGTTTGCCATGTCCTCCTCTTCTGATGTGGTGCTGTCTTGGAATAATTCAGCTGATGTGGTGGGGGACAAGTTGGTACTATTGATGCAATCGTTATTATTTTCGCCGCCATCACCACCTCCAAGGCCGCCGATGCCACCCTCGGGGGAAGATGAGTTTCTTGGGATGGCAAAGGGCATTGGGGATTGGGGCCTCAGGCGTTTTGTGCGCTTACCCTTCATAATATTAATATTATTGTAGTGTTGTTCCTTGCACCCCAAGATCATGACTTCCTCTTCATGATGATGATCACCACCTGCTGCTTCCATGGCTGGTTCCTCCTCCTCTACCTTCAAGAGACTTGGGAATTAGTGCTTAGAGAGAGAGAGAGAGAGAGAGAGAGAGAGAAAGAGAGAGAGAGAGAGAGAAAGAGGAGAGAGAGAAAAAAGAGAGATTTAATTGGTAGGGAGGAAGGACGAAGAGGAAGACTGTTATTACATTATATATATATAGTGAATATTGACATGTTGGAGGAAGTCACAATTACAAGGCCATACCCCAATACAACAGTAACTGTGAATTTAGTCTCCCCAATCTTTTGTTGAGTTTCCAAGGTATTTATAAAGGGAAACGATTTATACAGACTTCTTTTCTTCTTGTACGTTGCCATTTAGTTTTGTTCCTTAATTATTTATTAATTTAATCAATCTTACGGTCAGGAAAAAGAAACAAGGATGTGCACAAGGAAAAAGCGGGTATACAGAAGTCACTTTCATTTATAAAATTGAAATTGTTTTTAGAAATTGAAAAACCAACAAATAATTTTAGAGAGTGAGGTTTTAGTAAATGTGTGTGGGATAGATAGAGATTTAAGGCAGGGAAAGCCAAAAACAAAAACCAGATATAACGGAAAAGAGTTGCAAATTTAGAGAAGTGAGGTTGTTAAACGCAAAGTCCGTTTCATGCTCTCTTTCTCACACTTTGCCAACCACGCACTACTTCTTCACCAATTGCAAATTTGCAAACACAAAAACAAACAAACCAAAGCTAATGAGGTTCCACCATATACATTACCATGCACCTTCATAATCTAACTTACTCTCACCTCCAAAGCGCGTGTTCTTCATCTTCCAAATTCCCAACGCACACTACCAAGTAATTGCCACCTAGGTAATTAAGATCTTCATTCAAACAAGCAACTTGTACTAGTCCCACAAATTAGGTGCAAAGTCTAAGATTGTATTAAACTATTAATTAATAAGTGCTCTCAACTTGTTGATTGAGATTTAAGGAAGTATGACCTTTTAAATCACTTACCAACTTACCAAATGTAGGTTTTTGGCTTTTCCTTTCAGTTAGATGTTAATATTAAACTAATTAATTAATTATTGTTATGTAATCACAATTCGAAATAAAGACCGTTAATCCTTGATTCCTAAAAATTCAACCAAGTTAGGTTAGGTTGTCAAGACTTGAATATATACATTTGAGTTGATCGTGATATATTTTTTCTTTACTCGATAAAAATAATTTAAAGAGAAAATAAACTTAACGATATGGTATCTCACTGAGTATTTCTTTTTCTTTTTCCTTTTTTGTTTTGAAATTGTTATTTGCACTCCAAAATTCTTATTTTACACTCCAAACTTTCTATATTTAGAAAGAAAAATACACTTGTGAGGAGTGTAAAATGAGATTTTTGGAGTGCCAATAACACTTCCTTTTTTTAGCATATCATAGCATTTATTCAACAGGTTAAGAAGATCAATACCTGAAAATGAAGGAGAATGAGAGTTAATTATACTGTCTCCTTTAATAAAGTAAGAATAAGTGTTCTATTAATGAAACTTGCATCTATATTGTAATATTTAATGACAAATAACGCATGCAAGTAAAATTTAAGTGATTTGTCCGAATATGTTAGAGAAGTAAGCACACTACAAGTCTAAAACGCTTGAAAATGGAATTTCACATTAACATAGTACTATATTCTCTGTGTTTTATTGATCAAAGTTGAAAAGGAGTACTATGTTCTTTGTGTTTTATTGATCAAAGTTGAAAAGGAATGGTGTTTGAGCCTAGAGCTTTGTTAGGCGCGTGTGAGTTTACACTCCCACACTTACTACTAACACGTCTTGTTGAAGATACTTCAAAATACAGGCTGCAGTTCCACATGTACATGTGTACATGTTATTTTAATATTGAGAGAGAGAGAGAGAGAGAGAGAGAGAGAGAGAGAGAGAGGGAAGGAGGGAGAGAGAGAGAGAGGATTGGAATTTACAAAGTTTGTTGAAGGGAAGCAAGCAAAGCAAAAGCAAAGGCAAAGGCTGAAAGGCAAAGCCCCATTACTTTGCCTCAACGATTTGTGTAAGGACGATGATTGGAGTGCAAGCCTGGAACCATGGAATCTGCGGTGCTCCCCTCACTCCCACTCCTCTCAACATTTTACCATCTTTTTTTATATATATTTTCTTGTATTTTAATCTATAATTTCTATTATCTATTCTATGTATGACAGTTTATGTTGTCAAGTGTTGTCATGCTTGCACGACCACATATTACATGCAATTTTTAAGTGTCTTCTTAATTTATTTTTGTTGGTTGTGAAAACAAAAACTTGGTTACACCAGTTTTATACATTGATTCATCGTCACATAATGTGAAAGAAAGACACCACCGATGTATGAAAACAAGAATATGAGAGTTTTTCTCACATTTTGGAACTAAATTTGGCAACATGTAATTTAACCCTCCTATAATTAAGGATTTTCTTTTCCTTTTTTTAAGGGAAATTACATCCAACTAAATTTGAATTCCTCTAAATTCATGCTTCATGATGATCAAGATCTATGGGACAATTAGATGACAACAGAGATATATGGTACATCATTTATGTCATACTTGCAACTCAACCACTAAATATGTACTGTATTAGTGATCAATCAAGAATGGAAATTTCTCGATCACCATTCAAGATAAATAGGTACATTTTACCTTAAATGCCAATGAATCTCTTCATTTTCTGTGCCATGTAATAGTTTAATATCATCCCCAACTTGAGAAATTTTCAATGCCCGGAATAAGGGGCAATACGCCGGCACCATACGTTATTATACAAGTGGAAATTTTTTATTCAAGTGTCCCTCCACTTGTATAATCACGTATAGCATATGTGTCTGTATTCCGAGCACACTAAAAAAAACTCTCTCAACTTTTAGGCAACATTGTCACATCCCGGTCCGCATAGTAAGATATTATCTGTTTTGGGCCACGTCCTCACGGATTTGTTCTGGGCTTCCACCTAAAACGCGTCTTACTATAGGGAGATGGGCATGTACATATAAGGCACATCACCTCCTTTCCCCCGGATAATGTGAGATCTTACAATCCACCCCCTTTAGGGGCCCGACACCCTCGTCGGCACACTTCCGGCCATGAAGTGGCTCTAATATCAAATTGTCACATCTCAGTCCGTATAATAATATATTGTCCGCTTTGGGCCACACCCTCACGGATTTGTTCTTAGGCTTCCACCCAAAACGCGTCTTACTATAGGAAGGTGGGTATGTACATATAAGGCACATCACCTCCTCTCCCTCAGGCAATGTGGGATCTTACAATCCACCCCCCTTAGGGGCCTGACGCTCTCGCCGGCACACTTCCAGCCGGGGAGTGGCTCTGATACCAAATTGTCACATCCCAATCCGCATAGTAAGATATTGTCCGCTTTGGGCACGCCCTCACGGATTTGTTCCTAAGCTTCCACCCAAAACGTGTCTTACTGTAGGGAGGCGGGCATGTACATATAAGACACATCAATTCCTTTCCCTCGGGCAATGTGAGATCTTACAAACATCGTCACCCATCTTCTTTGGTTCAATTGTTTTGGTTAAGTGTTGAGCATTGTTTGACTCTTCTATGTGATAGGGTTCATAAATTGAAAATTAGTCTAGCAGTATGTGAAACTAATTGTTCAAATTATACAGGATGAATTTCGTACACACATTTTAAAGAGTAATGTTAGAAATATCATATATTTATATCACATTTGTGTATTATCTAATATGGCAAGTGATGCATACAACTAACAATGTTACATCCCACATCGCCCATGGGAGTGGATCCTGTAAGCCTTATATATATATATATATATATATATATATATATATATATATATATATATATATATATATTCTCATCTCTACCTAACACGAGGCCTTTTGGGAGCTCATTGCCTTCGGAGATCATCAGAACTCCAAAGTTAAGCGAGTTCGCGCGAGAGCAATCCCAAGATGGGTGACTCATTGGAAAGTTCTTGTGTGAGTTCCCAGAAACAAAACCGTGAGGGCGTGGTCGGGGTCCAAAGCGGACAATATCGTGCCACGGCGGAGTCGAGCCCGGGATGTGGTGGGGGCTCGGGCCAAGATGTGACAATTTGGTATCTGAGCCAATCCTTGGCCGGAAGTGTGCCGACAAGGACGACGGGCCCCTAAGGGGGGTAGATTGTTACATCTCACATCACCCAGGGGAATGGATCCTGTAAGCCTTATATGTATATTCTCATCTCTACCTAACACGAGGCCTTTTGGGAGCTCATTGCCTTTGGAGATCATCTGAACTCCGAAGTTAAGCGAGTTCGGGCGAGAGCAATCCCAGGATGGGTGACTGACTGGGAAGTTCTCTTGTGAGTTTCCAGAAACAAAACCGTGAGGGAGTGGTCGAGGCCCAAAGCGGACAATATCATGCTACTATAGAGTCGAGCCCGGGATGTGGTGGGGACCCAAGTCAGAATGTGACAAACAATATCTAACGAGATCAATTCATTAATTGATGTGCCATGCATACATCACTTGACACATTAAATAATATGTGATACAAAAATGCGTACTCCCGAATAGCTCATTAGAGTCATTATACAAGTAGTCATGCATGTATGTTCCATCTGTTTTTAGTTGAAATTTGAAATACTTTAGATTGCCTTAAATATCAGTCTTCAAGTCATTAAAAATATATATAAATCCAACAAATAAAAATGTCACTAAAATAAAGGAGGAAAATTAATAAAACAAGATGCCTTTTATTTTCCTCGTTTTCCCTTTCTTTCGATTTCATGGGTTTTGACTTATACAATTCATGCCACCATGTGCGAGGCAGCGAGTGTGATGTCTCGTAGCCTAAATCCTCGTTCTATATACCAAGCCAAAGATTAAAGAAAATGATTTATATGTCTTTGGTTGAATAATAAATTATTTTCCAGAGAAAAAAAGAAAATAATTAATATGTATTTTGTTTAAAATAGAGTAATTTTGCTTTTAAATACAAGTAGCACGAAATATAAATATTTTTGGATTTAAGGGTAAGCTGGTTTGTTTCTCAAACTGCACTTCATGATAAAATTAATTAATGGAAACTAAACCATGCTGCTAATTAAATTTTAAATTTTCTTTTATCCAACAAAATATGAATTTTAAAACGTAGTAATTTGGATAAGTATCTTTGTGAGTATTATTGGGAACACTATTTGTTTGTAATCAATCAGTTCATGTGTGCTGTTGACCCTGCAGCAGCCAGT